GGGAAATAATCAAGTATTGGGTTTCTCCTCTGTGTTTGGCAGCCAGGAGGGGGCTGAGGCTGAGCACAGGGACCCGTGGTCCTGGTCCCTGCTGCTCTTCTCCTGCCAGAGCCTCTGATAATGTCATCTGACTGCATTTGTCCTCCATCCTCCACTTTCATTGTTGTGAGGAATTAACCGACTGCAGCCAGAGAGAGAGATTTGTTTTGCTTTGTTTTGGTCTTTTTTTTTTTTCCATTCAGACCATTCAATTTTGATCCCAAGGAGGTAGGAGGCCAATAACTGGCTGAAAATCAATCCAGGCTTCCCATGACTGATGGAATGGAAAATATCTCGAGTGTTTGCTGAGGATTTGCAGGCAGCAAAACAAAACAAAAGGCACAGAGCTTGGCTGCATGTAATTCCCTCCTGCATGCAGCATCCTTCATCAAAGGATAAAGGCTCCAGCAAGGGCTGTATTGGGGCAGCTATTTTGGGAGCTCTGTAGCTAAGAGAGGACAAGGGATGCTCTGGAGAAGCCACCCCTGGGTGGCTTCTTTGAAGGTGACTTGATTTGTTGGGCTCTTTTCCTCCATCAGCCAGCTGGTTAGCACTAGTTCCCCCGTTCAACACCTCCATATTTTACAGTTATTAAGCAAAACTTCCCCTATATCCCCAGTAAAACCCTGACTGGAGGTGAGATGGGAAGGCTTTACCACATCACATCTTGTTTTGCTCAAGAGAGGGGACAGAATTGTCCCCTTTGGGCTGTGTTTGCTGTGTCCCCTGGCACTGACATCATTTACAGCTGAAGCTGGTTGTTCAGATGCTAAAGATCCTCCGTGTCCTCAGAGAGTTTTGTCTCAAACCCCTCTTTTTAATATTTTTTCACCCATGCCTTTTTCTGCAGTGTATTTTTGTCATGCAAATAGACTGTAAACTGTAGCTGAAGCTTCACCAGCGTCTCTGTGTGTCTAATACATGAACCTACTGGGAATTTTATTAGGAACACACCATTAAGTGAATTTTATTGTCTGCTCAGCAGAGTGGGAAAGTGGAGATGGGGAAAGATGGGCAGTTTATCATCCCCATCCTCTGTCCCCAAGCCCCAGGAGGTGTTTGGTGGCTCACATGGCCGTTTGTTCGAGTCATGAAACCATGGAACACAACTGGGGCAAACTGTGAGTCCCACAGGAGCAGCCTGGCACGAGGCAGCAGGTGGATGCTGAGTGCTGGGGTCGATGTGCACTGGCAGCAGGAGGTTGCTCAAAGCCAGCTGGTGTGATGAGACGTTGTTCATCCATCCACCTCCACCTCTCCAAAGCATGGAATGCTCCGGGGTTCTGCCACCTTGCAGCCCCAGCGTGGTGACGTGGGGTTCTGCTGGGCTTCTGTCTAGAAGCTGAGCACAACACGCTGGTGTATTGAAGTTTTAATAACAGATAATGAAACGGGAGCAGCAGAGAGACAATTCGGTCTTGGGTTTGGTTTTTTTTTCCCCCTATAATTTCCCAAGCTGGTTTAGTTGAAGGCATTTCACTGCCAGCTTTCCTAGGCTGCAGACACTTCTGTGCCGTGGGCTCAGGGGTGTGTGTGGGTGTTCTCTGGTGCTTTTGCAGACATCCCTCAAGCCCACCAAGGTGTGAGAATCAGAACCATTTGCCACATGTTCATTCCCCACCTCTGCAGTGTTTCCAGGGAGGTAACGCTGGAGGGCTGAAGTTCCCTACAAAGTTTTTGGAGACCCCACTTGGCCTTTCAAAGGCAGCAGCCAAATGCTGGTTTGCTCTTCTCAGGGACCCTGGAGACAGTCACACTGCAGAGATAACACTGTCAGGTTCTGCAAAAGAAATTTGCACTACATCACCCAAATCTGCAGCCTTAAAGGCTTCCCTCTTGCTAAATTTACCTTTTCTCCTTCCTAAATTTACCTTTTCTCCTTCCTAGACAGTTTTTACCGAAAGCAGCTCTCTTATTTTTAGGCACTAGCTGCATCCATAATGTCATCACTGGCTGGATATTTCTTCTGGATATTAACTGCACAGCTTGGTCATTTGCCTCAGAATTGGTTTCATATAACAAAAGCTTTTTTTTTTTTTAGGAGTCTAGACAGTGTCCCCAGTGAACTGGCACTTAAATGATGATCTAAAATCTCGCCCCAATCTACCAATAGCAAGATTTAGATGTCTCTCTCTCTCTCTCTTATATTTTAGCAGCCTTGGTTTAAGCTTTTGATGCAGAAGTGTATGATTTTTAAGCCAATATGGACTTTGCCTGAATTTCCTTGACAATGAGTGATTGCATCCCTCTCTCCTGCATGCCAAATTAATGGAGTTAGGCACAGCAGCTGGGATAATTTACTGAGTGCTACCACGACGGGGCTTACGGGAAGCAAAAGCAGCATCAACGTAAAATGCTGGGTTTAGCCAGGGAAAAGATGTTAATTGCCCTCTGGAAGGATGGTGCCAATCACACAGCATTCCCAGGGGAGCACTTAAGCTCTCGTGCTCCTGGGGAGATACCAGGTTACCCCCTGGGAAAGCTTTGCTATTCAGCTGATTTCTTGGCTGATTTGGAGTTTCAGAAATTGGGGTTATTTCTGGGCAGGTGTTGGAGGCATCGTTGGATTCAAGGCCAGGTCGGACAGGGTTTGGAGCAACCTGGTCTAGTGGAAGGTGTCACAGGGGATGAGTTTTAAGGTCCCTTCCAACCCAAACCATTCTGTGATGATTCCATGATTTCTCGCTCTGGGTTTCTCCCACGGCCCGGTTTTTAGGGTGATGTGCAAAGGTCTCAGCCGGTCTCTGCTGTTTTCTAACCCCCCTGTGTTCCTGTTGCTCGCCCAGGTCTGGTACATGGACAGCTACCACAACAACCGCTTCGTGCGCGAGTACAAATCCATGGCAGATTTCATGAACACCGACAACTTTACCTCCCACCGCCTCCCTCACCCGTGGTCGGGCACCGGTCAAGTGGTCTACAACGGCTCTATTTACTTCAACAAATACCAAAGCCACATAATTATCAGGTTTGACTTGAAAACAGAGACCATCCTCAAGACCCGCAGCCTGGATTATGCCGGCTACAACAATATGTACCACTACGCCTGGGGCGGCCACTCAGACATTGACCTCATGGTGGACGAGAACGGGCTGTGGGCCGTCTACGCCACCAACCAGAACGCGGGGAACATCGTCATCAGCAAGCTGGACCCCAACACCCTGCAGAGCCTGCAGACCTGGAACACCAGCTACCCAAAACGCAGCGCCGGGGAGGCCTTCATCATCTGCGGCACCCTCTACGTCACCAACGGCTACTCGGGGGGCACCAAGGTGCACTACGCCTACCAGACCAACGCCTCCACCTACGAGTACATCGACATCCCCTTCCAGAACAAGTACTCCCACATTTCCATGTTGGACTACAACCCCAAGGATCGGGCTCTCTACGCCTGGAACAACGGGCACCAGATACTTTACAACGTCACCCTCTTCCACGTCATCCGCTCCGACGAGTTGTAGTCCCGCCCCTTGTTTAGAGACCGGTTTAGAAAAACAACAAAAAAAAATTAAATTAAATAAATGAAATAAACGTGAAAAGGATTAAAAAAGAAAATAAAAAAAAAAAGGGGAGAAACTTAATTTAAAAAAAAAAAAAAAGGCTAATAAGGAAACACACTTTAAATAAGTAAATATATAAACAGCTGCCAAAATTAAGACCAACGTCATGGAGGATAATTCAGCATAAACCTGACAGATCAGCATTACCTCTACATTTCTAGAAGTCTGGCTCTGTGTTATAGACTAACGAGTCACCATGTACTTGCAGCTGGAACTGCACTCAAAGAACCACTTAAGTTTGGGGTTTTGTTTTGTTTCTGTTCTGATAGCAAACCTATAGTACATACAAAAGCAGTAAGGCAATGACTGTTGGAAGTTTATCCTTGGGAGACTCGCTCTCTTCTGTGTGTGGGTTGCATGGACATTCCCCCGGCGTCACGGTCAGCTGTGATGGATGTGTGATTTGTATTTTTAAGCAGAAAAAGCTGACCCGTGAGGAGCTCTCGCTGTCTGAACAAGACCTATCACAGGTTAGTTTTCTTCGCCTTCCATTGCAGCTACTGTCTCTCTCAACTGTGTTCTTGTCACTTAGATTAACTGTGCTGAGACCCGAAGTAGCTCATGGATCTGTGTCTTAGTAACTATTAAACACGATGGTTTAAGTATGTATTATGAACAAGTTGTTGTACCCATATTGTTTGAACTTATGTATTCAGCAAATATATTGTATAATGTATGTCTGTTATTTACCAGAGGTGGCAAAACTTTGTATGTCCAGTTTATGCAATGAATGTTGTAAATGCAATGATGTAGTTTGGATTAATAAATGATGGTTTTTGTTTCTAAAAAGAAAAAAAAAAAAAGATCAGTGTTCACCCTTATACACAGATAACCAATTTCATGTTGATAATTACGAGAATATTCTCTTACTGTTATACTATCTACATAGCATTATGGTGGTTGGAAATTGCTTCTGTGGAAATTCTGTGGCAGCAGATTCCCATGGGAAGCTTTGTTTATGGAAGTGTGAAGGTAATTAATTTTTTTTAAGAGGAAAACTTTGTACTATCCACAGTTATCTAAGGAACAATAAAAATATTAGGAGACTTCCCTGCTTTGTTTATTGTCTTCTATGTACGAGTGAGCGAGTGCAGGGGAGGGATAACAGGAGTTATTGTGGGGTTTTCTGGGTAAATGTTGAACAGCCACCCTGAATTTCCTTCCAGGGAGTATTACTGCTGCTGGGAGCTGGAGGGGCTGGGAGAATGGAGGGTTTGGCTCTCTGCTTTAGGGATTCCCTTTCTGTTTGCATTTGGAGCAGACATTGCCTCAAGGAGCTAAAATCCTGCTCTGCTCCTGCGGCTGCATCGCTGTGGGTGTTGTGGACAGGGGTCCACCCACCCCAGGACTGACAGTGTTTGGTGTTGGTGCCTCAACAGGAGGAAATGGTGTCACCTGTTACCTTCACTGGCGCTGGAGACACAGTGCCTTGGACCGCTGAGGGCAACTGGATCATTTCCCTTCTCGGATGCTTGGAGTGCCCCCCATCCTGAACTCACCGCGGGCTCGTGCAGGTAAAAATGTCCTTCCATTTAATGTAGCCAGCACTTAAAATGAGTGACTGTCACTGCTGGGGTGTGAGCACCCAACACAACGCTTCCCCCTGGTTTGGCCGAAGCAGGGCCCTGGCAGCCCTGCAGGATGCAGCAGTGCAGCAGCACACACCCTGAAACCATCCCAGGCACTCTCCCAGCTGAACTCTCTGACGTTTCTTGATACTTTGAAGCTTAAGACACTGTATGTTAACGTGTCCCTCCCAACCACCTTTGATGACTCCTGCACTTCCCTGCTCTCCCCTTACACCCTTCCACAGGATGTTGTCCCCAGGGCAGGGCAGGGCTCAGGGCAGGAACCCAGCAGCACCAGCAGCTTCATTCTGCTACCACTGTCTGGGGTGAGATGGGGGGTCCCACCTCCCTCTGGCGTGAGATGTGGGGGTCTTATCCCTCCCCTCCACCTCAATGAGAGCATTGTTTAGCAATTCCCACGCCACAGCCAGCTCCAGGTGAAGGGACAAGACTTTTCCTCCCCCTCACTGCCCGCCCAGGGAGCCCCTTGAGCTGGATCTCACTGGCATCTGGGGTAACTGGTACCAGTGCAAGCTGCAAGGGGCTCTCTGGTGCATCACCAGACCCTCATTGTCTCCTTTCCACACAGAGCAGCAAGTGACCGTGTTTAGCACCACCAGAGAACCTGATTTTTCAGCCACATGGCCTGATGATGCTCAGCCTTCAGACTCGTCAGACGGATGCACGACGGCCCCTGGAAGGAGCCCGGATCACCAAGGTCAGGAAATTGAATATAAGCAATTGGTGTTTGCTGCAAACTGCACATACTCATTTCAACCTCTTGGCCTTTGCAGCAGTTCCCTGCTGGGCTCTTCAACGGGAGGAGGGAAAGGAAAAAAAAAAAAAAGAGTGGTGTAATGTGGTTTCTCAGAGCTGGATTAAACCACAAGCAAGGAGCAATCCTCCACACGTAGATGTCTGAGGCAGTTACACAGGGCTGAGCTGCTGCCCTGTGTCAGCACTGCTCCTCTCACTGAAGTGCTGGCTGAATGCAGAATGGGGACAGCTCTCTGAGGACTTGTTTCCCTGCTACACGCTGTATTTCCAGCTAGGTTTGTGGAGAACTTCGATATTTAGCAGTGGTTTTCTCCCCAAGAAGCTAAAAAAGGGGGCTGGAGCCCCATGGTGTAATTGGCAGAAATACTGATCTTTGGTAGGCAAGAGTAATCTGTTATGCCAAAAAGCAGGAAGGCACCTGCAGTAATTTCTATTTACTTAATGTATTTCTTCAATGTAAACTCATTGAAGGGCAGCATGGGGTTTTTTGTAAGGTTTAGAGCTGGATCCAGCAACGCTGCAATTAGTGGGATGGAAGCTGATGCTGACACCAGGACTGGGCTTGGCTGAGCCAGCTCCTGCCCAGCTCCTCAAGAGTTTCAGGGTGATTCCCACACACAGCCTTGCCATGGATGTGAATCCTGGCTGGACCACGCACTGAACTGCTTTTTGGTGTAGATTATTGCCCCAGCAGCTGGGCTCGGTGTCCTCTGTCCTGGAAGATGTGCTAATGACCCTGAACACCAGACAGTTCTTCTCTAAGACCTCTGCAGGTGTTCACAGAGTTTGTCCCAGCCAATCCGTCCAGCCTGGGGGAGATGTTTCAGGTAGACCACCACAGCACATGGCAGGGCACCACCTGAATCTGTCAGCAACCCATCCAGGCACACTGCCACACACACACACACACACAAATTACCCAAAGTCAGTTTGGTCATTAGGCCAGATTTGAGGACAAAAGAACACGTTTGCTTCAAAACATTGATCGGCAAAAATAAATCGAATTACAGAAAGGCAAAATAATGCTCTTTGCTTTAGGGCACAGCTACATTTAGATTCTAATTTTCCTAGTGCAATTCATTTAAGATAAGACTCCACAGCACAAAATGTCCTTGAACACAACAAAGACAGAGCAGCTTCTCTGTAACATGTACCCAAAGTTAATGAGATGAGAAAAGTGCTTTAAGGGGTGTACCTTTGTCCTATTTGCCTGTAGTGCAATATTCTATAAATGGATGCCATATGGTCATATACTTAATGGTATGTATTACTTTGGAAGTGGATGAGCCACTCAAAGGCAAGTACGTCCCAGAGGATTGCTTTCTATAGCCTATGACTTAATTATTTGATGCACGAGGCTTGTTGGTCCAAATTTAGTTCTGGGAGTCAGCGAGCTACTTCAGAGAAACATCTGACCATACTTCTGTGTGTGTGTGTTTAGGTGTTGTTAATATTTCACAAGGCATTAATCTGAAAGCACTGTGCTGGGGATTTGTGAGGGTCTGGTGCAGAAGACAGGTCCTGCTCCCAGCCCCACCAGCCGTGCCAGTCCCGGCTCCATGGCTGAGACAGATGTGATTGAGAGGGACTTCTTACAAGGACATGGAGGGACAGGGCAATGGGGAATGGATTTAAACTGAAATGGTGGTGATTTAGATTAAATATTAGGAAGAAATTCTTCCCTGTGAGGGTGGGGAGGCCCTGGCACAGGTTGCCCAGAGGAGCTGTGGCTGCCCCATTCCTGGAAGTGTTCAAGGCCAGTTTGGACTTAGTGGAAGGTGTCTCTGCCCGTGGCAGGGGGTGGGACTGAATGACCCTTAAGGTCCCTTCCAACCCAAACCATTCTATGATTTAATTTTGCCTGTCATTCCATTGCTGTCCTTCATCCTGTGACTCAGATGGACCAGTGCTCTCCAGCTGGTTCACACCTGCCTTGGGATAACAGGGGTACCTGATGGGATTTGCTCTCATTCTTGCAGTTCACCTTTTCTACCCTTGGCTCTGATACAACTCCCTTCCCTGGAGCCCTCATGCCCATCCCAGGGGATGCCTGGATAGCTTTTGGGCAGGGTAGGACACAAATGCAGCACAGATGTTTGTCTGCCCAGCTCAGACACAGCCAGCACAGCTCCCTGCACCTCATCACTGGGATACTTCTGCTGTTCTCCAGGCCATGCTTATCCACAGGTGTAACTGGTTCTGTGTGCAGGGTAGAGCCTGACCCATGGAAACTGGAGCTCATCCTTCCCCCACCAGTGGGGAGGCCCACAGGAGCAGCAGTGGGTTGTGAAATGCAGCTTTGGGCTGTGAAATGCAGCTCAGGACTTCAAGAGCACTTACACAGACTGTCCCATGAATTAAATGAAGCTCACTCAGCACCTGGCCTAAAACCCAGGCAGAAATACTGGCTGTTGCTTAGCATCATCACAGCACCGAGAGCTAAAAATTTTCCTTTCTTCCTTTGCTGTTACTTCCCTGACCTTCATTAGTTCTGCAAGCACCGAGTGCTGAGCCCATATGGAGACAGTTATCATAAAAAACTGAATCCTGGCCCCTTAATTAGCTCCTCATTATCGGAGAGCTCCATATTGAAGCATTAAGAACTTCCGAAGCAATTTGTTGAGTTTCCAATTAAAACTTTTTAGAATTGTTGAGCCTTTTAATACTTTGTGTTTACAAATTGCCTTGGACCTCCACCAATACACACATTTCCTTCACTGGGGAAATATAACCGAGGAGCTGATGGTTATTAATATAAAATCCTTGGGTTTAATAAAGCCATAAACCATGTCAATGAAGCTGCTCTTTTTATACCTGATACAATAGAGATGGCTCTGAACGAGTGCAGAGGAGTTAGAATCATTAAGAGGGCAATTAAAGGCTGATTTCCTAGTAGCTCCACTTTTATAGCACTGTAAAAACAAATGTACACATCCCTCTTTATATTAATTTACCCTGGATATGCTCCTGCCAGCTGACAGGTACCAAGACCCTCCGTTTCAGCACATTGCAGGATCGGGACCATCATGAATAAATAAAAGCCAGATGGGCATGGATTATATTCACAGTATCACACAAGCTGTGAGCTGGAGGAGTGCAGCTACCAGATATGAACACAGAAGAAAAATGGGTCTCCTATGAAGCATAGAACTGCACAGGCTTCCCCTGGGTTCCTCAGGTGAATCTGTGGCCTGATCTACTGTGGTGGCCAAAAAAAATGGGGAGGTGGGAGGCCTCTTGACAAGCCCAGGGATGAGCTCTTCCTAAAATCTGCAGAGCCAACGTGAAGCAAGGGGAGCAGCAACGTCTCTGCTGACCTGGAGAGGGATTAAATGATTTGTTTAAAACCTCTTAAACATGGTTCCCAAGCCATTTGAAAAGAATGGTCACCTTCACACTGCATCCAAGGAGCATAAAGGAGGGATGCAGTTGTCTGAAGCAGAACAGCCCTCAGAGCTTTAACTAACCCCCAACGGCTTCTTCCTCCTGTAAAACAGTCCCAGGTCCTCCAGGAAGAGTAAGTTCATGGCTGTTAGGAGTCTGTTCTGCAACCATCACAGGAGGACATGTACCACCAAGGGAAGTGGCTTTGGTGTGTGGCAGATCTGTGCAAGCAATGACAAACAGCCCTGACACGACCTGAGCTGGGACTTTGTTCTCAGCCTGTGCCGAGGACTTGTGATGATACAGTACTTATGTTCTTGGGGACGTTGTAAAGCCATAAGCTGATATCTATTGAACATGTCATTTGTATTCCCACGCTGGTTTTTAAGCAAATCTGTCAAATAAAACCAAAAAAAGAATAAGAAGAGGAATGCAAGGGAGGGATTACATAAGGAATTGGCTGCGCTGGCAGCCGTGGTCACTCCGGGTGCTGGTGAGTCCGTGGCTCTGGTGTCCTCTGAGAGGAGGGAGAAATGTCCCTCAGAAACAGGTCTGGAACAGGGATCAGCATCCCAGACCACTGGCTGGGACCCCAGCAGGGGCTCAGGGCCATAGGTTTGACCATAGTCTGCTGCTTCCCTCCTGATCCTCAGCATCCTCCCAGCTCTGGGGCTGCTTTGTAGTAGATCAGCTCCCTCTCAACAGACAAGGACTGAGCTCCTTCCCACCCTCCTGCTGGCTTTTTGATCTGGCTTTTAAAGACATCATTACTTTTCAGGATAATTTTTTTCATTTGGCCCATTTTGGCACTTTCTGAGCAGCCAGCTACTGAAAAAGAAGGTGTCTTCAGGCAGATCAGCAACGTGGGTCCTTCCTCAAACGCTCACAGTGAGCCCCCAGCACCACAGGCAAGGGACCTTGGGGAGAGGAAACATAAATCTGCCATCTGTGGCAATTTAGCATTTACCAGTCATATTGCACCAGGGCACTGTCACTTTGAATGAATGTTAAAGCACTTCCTCTGCATGGCCTGAACAGTCTCCCTTTCCCATCAAATTGGCCATGGCATGCTGTAATAAAATAGACATACTGAGGCTGCAAAGGGTCACTCGGGGGGGGGGCTGGCATTAACTCAGGGAGGTCCCCTTTTGAAGAAGGCATTCAATTAAAGTTTTATTGCAATTCTGCAGTGTGAAGCCACAAGGAGGAGGCTCAGTAGCTGTGCTGGGATTTTAAATTAGTAGCTGAGCAGGAATTTGCCAGTGATCCTGGGTGTGAGCAGCAGAGAGTCAACTGTGCTCCACTGCAGGAGCAACATCCAAGGAAAATACAGTGGTGGAACTGTGCACTTGGCTTGGCTTTGTATGACTAGCGGGATGAGCAAGGAATAGCGTGGGATCAACTGGGAGCAAACATTGTGGAAGGATGAAAGGATCTGCCATGGTGAGAGGCACATGAGGTGGCTCTGGGAGCTGGGGCTCAGCCAGCACTTTGGAAGATGAGATTTGGGTGAGTCCTGCAATCCAGGAGGAGTTTGCCTGAAGAAAAGGTGTTAGGTTAGGCCCACTGCCTTTGAGCACAAATATTTGTGCTCTCCAGCAAGATTTCCTCTTGCAAACAGCACTTGAGAGCTGGCAGCCTTCAGCCAGCAGCAGAGAAAGGCTTCCAGACTCCCACCTTTCCTATCAGTTATGTCATTTCCCCTGAAACATCTGGAAGAGTCAGCATCTCATGGATGCAGCAGTGTCCAGAGGTATTTGGGATTTGCAGTGAATGGAGGCAAACAGGGATGTGATCCTCTGATACAGCGATGATGGGGATGGTGATACCAGGCCAGGTGTGTGCTTGTCTTCTTGCTGGACACAGGGCTGGGTGCTGGCTCTCCTCTGCACATTTTAGAATCCCTGGCCAGGAAATCAGCCTCAGGAATTGCAGAGCATTGTGCAGGAGGAGATCCCGCATTCCTGCCGAGCATCCCCGAGTCCCAGACATGTTAAGGACACAGGTTTGCATGGATGCTCAGGTGCAGGGCTTTGGAGCACAGCCCTCGCCACTGCAATGGCAGAGGAGGGTGAACTGCTGCAAAGGAGCAGGGCTCTGTGCCCAGCTTTCAGCCATAACACTTGCTTTCAAAAACTCAATCAAGCGGTGTTTTGCACAGGAAAAACTGTCAGACGTTTAATTACCAGCCATCGTTACTGCGTTACCATAATGTGAGCGAATCGACGCTGCTCTGCCACCGCCAGATGTTCACACTCCGGCTCGTTACAGCAGTGATGAGCTCGGTGCTTGATGAGCTCGGTGCTGCCCGGTCCCGGCTGGGAGCCAGGGCCAGCAGCCCCTGCCTGGGGCAGGCACAAAGCCGGGATAAAGAGCTGTAAAGTGTTCCAGCCTTCGGCGTAAAAATAGCCTGTGCAGTTAAAGCAGATGGGCTAAAAACCTGCGGAAGGGCAATCAGCCCTCACTGCACCAGGGCTCATGAGGCTTGTCAGCTAAGGGTCAGGAAGAAATTTGTCCTGGGGGTGATGGTATCTAATGGACTGTGTTAGGAGCTGAAATGCTCGGCTGAGAACATGCTGCTGGAAAACAGGCTGCCAGACCTGACAGTCCACAGCGTTGCTCTGCTACGTTTTTGTATTTTAAATATTAAACGCAGTGTTAATGTTGTAATTGCCACCTCGTAAGTCAACATCACAGGTCCTCTGGCAGGTCGAACACCCACCTCGAGCGCTGCAGAAAGTGCTGGGGGTCGGCGTGGTTTGGGCTGGGTTTGGTTTCATGGAATCACAGAATGGTTTGGGTTGGAAGGGAGGTTAAAGACCCTCTCATTCCAATCCCCCTGATGTGGGCAGGGCCGACAGGTTGCTCCAAGCTCCACCCAGCCTGGCCATTTGCAGCTCACACTCCGTGAGGGAATAAATGGGGTGGTGGCCCATTATTTCCCCAAAATGCTGATGAAAGGAATGGAGGCATGTCCTGGGGGATGGGCCACCAATGGCTTGGGAACACACCCAGTGACGTCCCTCAGCGAAGAACAAGAACTGCAAGTAAGTGGAGGGGAGAAAAAGTACAAAACCAGGGAACTTGGATCACTTTATCCCATAGCAACAAGCCCATTCAACAGGAGGAGCGTGTTCACAGCAGAGCCCTAAAAAAAGGAGCTGTTAAAATAAACATTGGCATATCTCACACCTCCCTCTTCCCTGAAGGATGCTCCCTAGAAGCACATGTGGACAAACTAGGGAAGGGAAGAGAAGGAAAATAGTCATGAAGGGGAAGATTAGAGGTATTCTAATTAAGTGCTGAAATTAATCTCTGTTTCTTTCACTTTCTAACATGTTTAATTGTTCAGGTGTCTCTGTTGTTCACTGATGAATCCAGCAGCCTCTTTCAGAGCATCTGGTCATATTATTCCTTTGCTTAACCATAGCATAAAAAACCCCAGGAGTTTCCTGTGAAGCTTTTGCCCTACATATCACATGTCATATTTTAGGCAAGTAACAAAGAGGCCCTGTAACCTTTCTGTGAGCATCCTTCTTACACCACCTTCAAGGTGGACAGGTGGTTTCAGGGGGTTTTCCCTGCTTTTTTTCTGTGTGATCTTGTTATGTGGAAGGATAAAAATATCCCATCTTTCTTCTACAAACCGAAATAAGATTCCTAGAGCCTTTACAAGCTTGTGTTGCCCCTGCTCAGGACCTCCTGGGGTGGATGCTCTGATCAGCAAAGGTCTCTGCTGTGGGTAATCCGCGTCCCTTCACTCTGGGCATGCAGCCCCTCACAGGTAGAGCTGGGAGGGTGCACCTGCCTTTTGGGAACCCCCAAATTTCCTACATGCATGCAGATATCACACACTGCCATCCCGTTGCCTCCAGTGACACCACAGAGCCGAGCAGAGTCACATATGTACGTGCTGCTCTCAGGGGAAATCCAGGCCAATGTGATTTTACAGTCAGCATCACATTGCATTTCCATTCCTTCCTCTTTTCCCTCTTCTTGTTTTTATCTTTGCATCACAGGAGGCCAAAACACCAACGTGTCACCGTCACCGCAGAGCAGCTGAAAATGTGACATGATTAGAGATCAGGGCAGCAATGAGACAGTTTATCTTCCCCACACATATGGCACTGGGTGAGCCACTGGGAAATAAAAAAAGCTTCAATAAATCATATTGTCCCTGCCATGGAAGCAATAACACCAGCAACCCCAGGCAGAGGGAGAAGTTTGCTCTGACACCCATTCCTGAGGTGTCCTGGCTGCAAGCCTGGCACTGCAAAGGACTGGGAAGCCTCATTCCTGTTGAATTCATTCCTGTGCTGGAGTTTGGACTGTTCTCTTATTATTTTAGGAGCTTTTACTCCGGGGAGCTGTTTGACTCCATAATGGGGTTGTTTGCTTGAGGAAGGCTGGTTTGTAAGGGGAGGCAACATGTGCAGTGCAAGGCTAGCCAAGCTTTTCCTTGCTAAATCACCATTTCTCACTGAAAATACAGATGCAAGAGACTTTATCCAAGCCCTAAATCCAACTGCTTTGGAGGAGCACCAAGCTGGGCTTGACGAGGAGATGGGAGCAGGGTGGTTTGTAACCTCCACCCTGTCCCACCAGGCACTGCTGGGGGATGGCACAGCTCTCTCTGCCCCTCCAGCAGATCCAACTCTGCAGGACAGACCTCCAGCCAAAAGCTGCAGGTTGGACATTCCACCTGCTCTTGCATAATCAATTACTGGGGCTGAAGAAAAGAAACTCATAACGACTTCCCACTCACACATCCAACCCCCTACAAGTGGCTTCTTGCCCTAGTGGAACAGAATATTGTGAGAGTGCCAGAAATAGGTAGCAATCAGATAATGCTGCAACCCACTCCCATCTGCCATCAGAGAAAAAAATCCTGCCCAAGTGAAAGCAAGGAAGAGCTGGGAGGAATCGCCGAGTCCTGCACTGTGCCCTGGGCATCAGCACCTGCTCCATGTTCCACACTCTGCCCTTGGAATGGGATGGACAGCACTTTTCCCGAGCCAGGAGGAACTGCTGGTTGCAAATGAAAGCGCTGGAATGCTGGAAAGACATCTGGCTGACAGAGCCAGGCGTTTCCTTTATAATGTGATGTTGGCAATGTTATATGAAAACATTGCTGAAAAATGAAGCCACACTGGGGGAAATGTGGTTCAGTCTTGCATCACTTTGAGCATGACCGGGTGGGTTCAGTGTGTAAAACAGCAAGGGACCAGTTCTGCTGCTGGAAAAAAAATCAGCAAAAATGTGGGGGCTCTGCCCATGCACCAGCTCCTCCACTGGGTGATGGACCAGCCTTGGAGTCCTGCTTGGGGGAACTAGGACATCAACTCATGGCTTGATGCAGACCAACACCTCTCAGGACCCAAATGTCCCCAGGTTGCATCTTGTCCAGATCCTTAGGGTGGCACAGGTAACCCGCCCAATTGAGCTGGGTGGGGTTGGATTGGGCTGAGCAAGGGTGAGGATACCCCCACCACATCCCTGAGCTTGCAGGTGCTTATCTGAGCTTGCTAATGGGATGTTGGATAAATGACTTCAGCTCTGCCAAGAGGAGAGTTTCCAGAGCTGTCTCAGAGGACACCTTGTTTGTGCTGAAAGGTGAGAGCAATCCCTTGGGGGCTGGAGGGTTTGGGATTTGGGATGCCAGGCAGGACTGGAGGGGGAACCGCCTTCTTCTGGGATATGTGGCTAAAGGAAGGGAAAAAAATAATCACAAGAATCCTTTTCATCAGCTTTCTTTGCTTTTCTGCCTGGTAACTTTTGGCAACACAAGCTCCAGCTGATCCATGGTGGATCTTTCAGGAGTGAGGCAGGACCAGCTCCACTTGTGCCCCTGCTCTCTGCCCTGAGAGAGACCATCATTCCTGGGAATGTGTTGGGGCTTGGATTTCTTCATCCTGAGTCATTACTGAAAGGACACCCTTGCTTTTAACCTCTGTGGCAGAGTTATCAAAGATGAATTGAGGAAATGCAGCCCTGGAGGCTTTGGACCAGGGTCCTGGGCCGGGGGGAGTGCAGCCCCCCTTCCCCTGCTGTGGGTTTTTGGAAGGATGGGGATGTGAGTTGCTGAGGAGCCAGTCCTGAGCAGAGACCTTGCATGTGTACAGAGAGTGCTGATTCATCTCACTGCCACTTGAGACAAAAGAACATCTAATTAAGTCACCCGTGTATAAATAAATGTACAAGGTCCAACCTCGGGAGCACAGAACAGCACTGGAAAAACTCAGCAGTGCACAATATGCTTTTCCTCTCTCTGGCAGGGCTGGAGCTCACATCTGGGACTACCCCTTTCTTTAGAAATACCGAAGAATGGGATCATTTTTTTTGTTGTTTTGGCAGTATTAGTTTTTACATCAGACTTAGGTGATTTTCTCTTTCCCCGCAGTTCAGCTGTGTCTCAGGTACACCGAGGCTTTGATAACCCTCCAAATCGAACTCAGAGCAGGGTCCACTTTCCAGCTCGATCAAAGGGTGCATGGGGTCCGTATGTCTTTTTGGAAGAGAGTGAAAAACAACAGCAAGACCGAGAATAACAGTAAGCAAGTAATTGCTGGTGCTGCTCTAATTACCAGCACCCGCTGCACTAATGGCCGAGCTGATGCTCCTGCAGCTGCAGGACACGGCCCCAGGCTCCACGTTTTAATTAACCTCATTAAAGAGGCTTTGCATTTTGCTCAGGAAGTGGAGAGTTCTGGCTTAGTCCTGCGGTGGGAGTGAGGAGTGGGCTAACAAGAGCTCAGAGTTGGGAAGTATTTAGCTTTTTTTTTTTTCCCCCCTGAAATCCACAGCTTTGGGATGTGGCTGTGGGAGTTCCCTCTGCCCTGTTCCCCAGCATCTTCCCAGGATTTGCAAACTGCTGGTGTTTGCTTGACACTTTCTCCCCCTGAGCAAGCAGCTGAGTAGTTCCTGGCTGCTGGACACACAAAACCATCACCTCTTCCCTGTGGAAGTCTTTACTGTAAAACTACTGATCATTATTTTTATGGCCCTTTTCCTCCTCGAGCTCTTGCTGTTAACACGCCAAAAGAGCCCTTTGTTGTGTTTTGAGGCAATTTGTTTTGATGGCATAACGAGGTTGATAAATTACCACCTTGGCCAGGAGCTTTGGGTGTTTGTGAGAGAAGAAATCCCTCGGTGTCTCTTCCTTGTGCACACTCATTAGAGCTTTTGCAGTGCCCTCAGGCAAACACAAGTCAAGGGTAAAAATAACCGAAGGTGTCCCCGCCCATGGCAGGGGGGTGGAATGAGAAGATCTTTAAGGTCATAATTCCAACCCAAATTATTCCATGATAATGGGAAGAGTACTTGCCACTCTGGTGGCTGTGCCCAGGAAGAGGTGACTGGCCCTTGCTGGAGGCAATGAGCTGATGCAGGATGACCTTGCCTGCCAAGAACCATATTTTTGAGGCAGCACAGCACTAATCATCCCCAGTAATTTGAGTGATTAAAAGCGAGAAGATCTGAAAGTTCCTGCAAGTGAGTAATAATAACATCTCCCTCCCTCTGCTCCAAACAGTGGGCTGGGAGATTATAATTAAATCCATAATCTATGCACACACCCCACTGCTTTCCACTGCTTGATGCTTTTTGGAGGTGATGCTGCTCCAGCCCACGTCCCAGGCCCATGCTGGCTGTGCAGGAGTTTTCACTGTCCCAGTCTCAGAGGCATCTGCCTAATTGCACCAGCAACATTTTTTTTTTTAATGTGCTTTCCTACATTGCCTCCATCTGATAAGGTCAAACCCACCTTGAGGACAGCTGCTCTGCTGTCTGCTCTGGCTTTGCCTCTTTGGGATCCACGGAGGACAGAGCTGCTCTGACCTTTTCCATAAACCTGCTTAAAGGTGACCAAGAAATACACATAATGTATTTCCCAGAGCAGTTTGGAGGAAGTGCCTGTGGCGTATTTTATTTGTCGTTACAACCTTCTCAAAGAATCACTCACAAGGTAGGAGGGCACCTGGCTGATTTTCCTGGAAAAATCAAGATAAGTAGAGATAGGCTACCTTCAGGGCAAACATCCCTGGCTAAAATTGGAATTGAAATTTTAGGGCCAGGAAATGAAGGACAGAAACAGCAATCAGGCTGCTCTGGGGTCTTCGGCAAGGCTGGTTTTTCTTCTGTCTATTTATTTATTTTTTAAGTTGGGACTGACACTGCTGAAGACATGAAAAATTAAACCAGATTTTCAAATGGGTCCTTGCAAGGCCGTTGCTGTGATGTGGTGGAGGTTTCCATGGGCTTGGCCATGGTACAAATGTGAGGTCAGGAGCTACAAAAGGCCCCAAGGAGGTCCCAGCTCAGCACTGACTTGGCTGCTGGTGCAAACCATGGCCACCAACACCATGAGCTCAAATGCCATTCTGCAAGGGAGAAACCAGATTTGGGCACTGGTGACTGCAGAGAGCTACACTTGACCCATTTTCCTCTGGCTGATGGATACAGGGACTGGTAAAAGCTCCATAGCAACTGGATGTGCACAGTTTAATTATGAAATCCCCATGGTGCTCCCTTGCAAAGATAAATGGATCCGGGATATTTTCCCCTCTTGCAACCATTAAAAAAAAAAAAACCTCTATATTTAGAAGGTCCTGTCCCACTTTGCTGTGTGCCAAGCAGCAGCACAGCTTGAGGAAGGACAATGCTTTGGATGAGTACGTTTAGGTCAACACATGGCACGTCCTTCCAGGAAGGTTTGTGAGCCTGAGGAGTCTGGTTGTCATCCCCTGGCACTTTGGGTGCTCATCTTCTCCCAGGCAAAGCCAGTGCCAGGCATTTCACACCCATTTGACCCCAGTGCAACACCAGGTATAATGGATAACCCAATAACCCCATCCCAGGCTTTAATCCCAAATGGGGGGCAAATCCAGCAGTGGTGTTGGATCAGTGAGTATCACCTGTAAAAGATTTCAGAAAGACAAGGCAATAGCAGAACTCTATTATTGAGACTATTTTGGGTTCTTTCCTAGTTGTCTTTTTTTCCAGCTCTTCACAACAGCTCAGGTCAGCTCTTATTACAGTCAGCTGTCCCTCCTGTCCCCTGGCACGGAGTATTGAGACACAGACAGTGAGAACTTTTAGATGGCACAATAAATAAAATAGATGCTATTATTACAGCACTGGCCTGTTTTCTGCTGCCATGGTATCTCTTCTCTTGTCTGACTTATTGCTGATGTCTTCTGTCAGCCCAGCTTGCCTTTCTTGGTTATATGATTTATGGTCCAGGGAGACAGAGCAGAAACATGTGAAAATTGCAAATGAGGGTGCTGGGAGGAGCACAGGAGAAAGACAGGGAGGGGTTGTGATGAGGGTGTGCAAATGGGTCCTGCTCCCACTACCATCTGACAGGAGATGGGGTTTGGGACAGTGTGCTCAGACAACCGAGCAGCTTCGCTCCAGGGCTCCAGCTCACAACCTCCAAGCTGGGAGAGGTAAAACCTGGAGCAGAGACAGCAATCCCTGTCTCTTCCCCAGGTGAGCTTCCCAAGCTATGTGTGAATGCCTC